GACCAATGTTATGGTATGGGTTGATTTTGAGCTGCATCTGCTAATGTGTCAGGCCCCCTCCCAAACTTAAGTAGAGTGGGTGAAACCTGGCAGAGCTGGGCAGTGCAGAGAGTGGAAAGAGAAAAATCCTAGGAAAATTGCCTTAAATTGTCCCCAGTCAGTGCTGAACTTAAACTGCCTGCTAACTGGATGAAAAAAAAGGTGTCTTGTATAAATGCCTGGGTGTAAGATGTGGAGGCGGGAGATAAGACTCTGGTCTAAGAAGTCAAGTGTTGCTATTGTCCACCTGAATAAAAGAGAAATGTGTGTTTAATAAACATAAAAATAGGAGGGAGTTGGAGAGACTGCTTCTGAGGCAATCTCTAAGTTTCTTGGGCGACAGAATATGGCAGGAGGCAAGAGAAGATGCTTCTGCAGCATGTCTTTCAGAGTCCCTTGCATCAGCATAGCTTATGCTCTGCTCTGCCTCTTGTATCAAGTAAAAAAGTGACTATAAGGCCCAGCTCTGTTACTCATGATTATAGGCATAGAAATAGATGGGCTATGAACTGTGCTGAATACCTTTTTGTGTGAACTCCTGTCCCAGCTAGTGAACTCTCACAGGGTCCCTGTGAGGTACAGTAGCAAACCTTGAGATGTGACCAGGCTACTTACAACTGCAGTTTGTTTTGCAGAAGTTGCGAGGCTCCAGATTCTTTGAAATTTTGATGAAATCTTGGAAACTCAACCCCTTACTGATGTAGCTGTATATATGTAGGCAGCTGTATTTGTAGGTAGAGAATCTGGGGAAAGAAGTAATCAACAACGTCATCCTCAATATTTCATTCCACATGGCATATCATTTACTGATCTGAGAATAAAAACCAGAAGACTTCTGTTTTCCAGAATTTTATCTCTGTTCCTAAGCTGTTAGAGTTCTCCATGGGTTGTTCTCAGGTCAGTTCTGTCCTGCCTTGTTGTTATCTTTCAACTTACCATAACACTACAAGTTGGTTTTGCCATCTGGACCCTAAACAAGTACCAGTAGCAAAACCTCGTCTCCTCTTGTCAAGAAGCTGGAACAGCCTGCCCTAGAGTTTGTTGCTGAACACTTTGGCATTGTGAAGTGTGCAGAGCATGGCTAATTGGCATCTTAAATTTAGGTCTGAAAAAATTTATCCGTTAAGGATAAGAAAGACAATTAGTGATTATAAACAAAAAATGCTATTGTGCAACATGTCTTCCCAGCTCAGTTGCAAGAAATTTGAAAGCAGAAAATGTTTATTGATGTTCAGGAAATTTTAAATGAGAATAATAAGCAAGCTCCACCTGCAAAATAATTTATAAAACCCAGTCTTTTTCCCTGATGGTTTCTTATCTTTAATAGCTTGCGTGTGTGTTTTCTTCTACTCAATGATATTGGAAAAGATTCTTTTGTTTTTTATTCATGATTTCTGAAGTCCAGCTCTCTTTGTATAATTTTTCAGAGTTATTCTTGTCTGAACTCTGGAGCAGGAAAATTACTATGTGATCCTGGGTTAGGATAGGGGATCACATGCTTTGCAAAGATGCTGCTGTTGTGCTCAGAGTAGCTGCCACAGTCCTTGTCTTACCGTAGCTATCATATGGAGGACAACAACATTATTTATTCCTTAATGTTTGGTATGTTGCTGTTATTATAGGAGAGGTCTTTTTAAATGATCCTCAAGTCATGCCAGCTCTTTTAAACCTCAACTGTCTCTTGAACACTCGCTCACAAATATCCTATCATGGAGATCTGTGTATAAGTTAAAGTTTAGCTACATGTTGCTTAGTTATGCAGAAGGATTTTACCTTGTATCAAAAAAACCCAACAATCACTTTTTTTGAGGTCGAGGGAAGGTCATTTTTATGTGTGCTACTCACAAGCAGCAACTACAACGTAGTCAAAAGAAGTCTGGAATTAGACTGAACTGTCAAAATGTTTCTCACATATCTGTTTTCTTGAGAAATCACAGACCCCCAAATTATGGTGATATGCAAAATATGCCCTATAGATTTTTTTCTTTTCCATGTCCAGAGGGCCTGGATTTATGTATATCTTACTGTTGGAGGCAGTAAGTCTAGGTGAAAAGAGCATTTCTGTAATGTTGGAACTCATTCATTTTATTGACAGCCTCCCCCTTGCCCCTGTAAATAGTAGTTTTAGTTAAAATTATTATTGTTATTTTTACCCTTGTTGAGAAAGTAGATGTAAACATTGAAACAGTATCTTGAAATACTCCCTCACAGCTGTGCTTTTGAATGCATACTTCTTTCTTTCATATTTCTTATGTAGTATGATTTCTATTGCTTTTTAGAAACCTTTATGCTTGTTATGGATGTCCATACACTGAAGTAGTTGCAGCCAATTTATGTTTCTCTGTCTTCTTTGGTTAAGCCAATTTTCTCTTTCTGGACATCTTGTGTTTTGGCAGGCAAGGCAGTATCTTCTCAGCTAGGACTCTTGTTTTTCCTTTTCTCTTCCTTCTGCCACAATCCA